AAAAAGTGTAGAATAAATTCTTGGTTGAAGAAACCAACCACTACTCATCTCCAATCTCTAAGTTCTATCTTTACCCAACCCCTCTCCTCACCTTCCCTCCCCACTACCAAGATAAAATGTCCGTCCGATGTAATTTCTCCATTCGACAACCAGGTTTTCGTTCTGATGAGAGGAACATCTCGGTGTTCATGAAATAAGAATTATAAACGAAATGGATAATTAAAGTCAAAAAATTCTATTATATTAAAATATATGTGTACATATATATATATATATATATATATATATATATATATTCGAACCTGCATCCTATACAGAACCGTCATTTACGCTGACGTGCCTAACCTCTCGGCCACAAAGGATCGTTCGGTTGGCAAGGTCGAATTTACTGCTTATAAACTTCAATCTTCCATGAATCTCGTACATGAATGAATGAGATTCATGGATTCCTATAAGATATATAAATATATATATATATATATATATATATATATATATATATATATATATATATATGAAGAAAATTTGGAAAAAATCCTTTTAGAATATGATTATGTATTTGTGAAAATGAATGAAATTCGACGTCTGACATTTCGGTTTAATAAACCTTCTTCAGGACAATATTCTTTAAAAATACAATTAACATAATCAATATAACTCGACGAAAACGATGGACATAAAAACAAGTCTTATATTAATTGTATTTTTAAAGAATATTGTCCTGAAGAAGGTTATTAAACCGAAACGTCAGACGTCGACATTTCATTCATATTAAAACAACATAATCACATTTAAGGATTTTTGTTTGTTTTTCCAGATATTTTCTTCATTCTGTCGGATTTATATCCATTTATATTTGCTTATCATATATATATATATATATATATATATATATATATATATATATATATATAAAGGAATCTAAATGAAATAATAATAAAAACGAAGGAATATTAATAATATACAACTCAGTGTGTTGTATTCAGATTTTAATTTTTAATATTTTTATTGTTCAAAACATATATATATATATATATATATATATATATATATACACACACACATATATATATATATATATATATATATATATATATATATATATATATAAGAAAAAGAAGCTGAAAAGCACATACATATACGCACACGTAACATCCTTGACCATTTAATGGACTACTATTATTGTTATCATTATTATTAAGGTGATAAACAGCCCCGGTTAAAATAAAATAGAATCCCTGACACTTGAACTACTTAGCACTTTGTTGCCATTAATGACTCACACTACGACATTAACAATTTTTTACACTAAAATTTTATGATCATCAATTTTGTGCCAACAAATTACTATGTTTGATCACAACCAATGAATCAGTTTGCATTTTAAACAGATATTAATCTAAGCCACTTTTTTTCTTTTTTTTTGTCATAATACGAAAAGAATTCCTCCCTTTTTTGACTATCTCTGACACATCAGGTCTGGTTCTCCTGCTATACATTTAAAGCTTCTTGATAAATTCCACTGAAGAATCTGCAACGTTATTCGCCCTTACCTGACATCTCGGCTTCAGTCACTGTAACGTAGATTCCCTGTTATTTTTTCTATAAATATTTTCATGATAATTGTTCTGATGGACATTCCTCTATGGCAGGGGGTCGGCAACCTACGGCACGCGTGCAACACATGGCACGCCAAACAATTTCAAATAACACCCACCCACAAATGACATCACGAAATCCGAACCAATAACTACTACAATGCAAAGAAGATATTTAGCCGTTTCAATTTTAATATATACTAAAGTATATATACTATATATTACTATATAGAATATATTGTAGAACAGATATATTGATCTTGACTTATATAAAATATGTATGCTGTTGAATTAAAATGCTGAATGATTTTAAAATCCTAAGTCGGCACATAGCAAAAGGTTGCCGAATCCTGTGTTAAAACACCTACTAATGGTCCTAATATTATCTGGACACCCAAATTTGTACGAAAATGAAGACGCAGATAATTATTAATAAGAATCCTAGAACAGGGGTCAGCAACTTACGGCATCTGTGACAAGCAATTGACAATGGTACGCAGCCCCAAATAACAACACGAAGTCCGAACCAATAACTACTAAAACACAAAGAAGATATTTAGCTGTTTCAATTTTAATATACAGTAAAGTGTATATTACTATATAAAGTACATTGTAGAACAGGTTTATTGACCTTGACTTACATATAAAAAAAACCATTGATGATTTTCAAAGTCAGTACATAGTCTGCAAAAGGTTGCTGGCCCTACGTTCTATGGTATCTCGGCTTTATGAATTTAAGCGCAGTTTTAAATTGGCGGCAAAGTTTCACCATTTTACAGTTACATGTAACTGTAAATGTGAGTACATTTACTACATTTATATATAGAGGCGTGAATGTGCATATATTTTTCTAATTTCGTTTGATTAAGAGTATAACGTTAGACTTAAAAAATTTTATATAAGAGTAAGAATAATGGACTTTTTAGAAACAGTAATATAAATAGTAAGTAAAGTTTAGGTATCGAATCATGGGATTAGTGTTTAAAACGTAAACACATTGGATTAAACTATGCAAGAATAAGTCCAGCTTACCTCGTTATGGAATCCGGGGAAAATAGCTCAAATCAAAATCGGATGGAGCAAAAAGACAAGACTATATAGGAGGGAAGGGGGGAAAAGCCCTTATTTCATTGGCTGACGTTAACTGACCAATAAGAACAGTCGAACTCCTAGCAATATCTGAATTTTTTTCGCAATGTCGAGGTGCACAACACGACGCTATCAAGGAGGTTGCCTGACCTTTTTGGAATCAGGTCGAAGTTGCTGTTTGAGCCGATATGATGCAATATCCGAAATCGGCAATGAAGATAGTGCATCACTGAAGACCATGCTTGATACATCTGAAAAATATTATTCAACTATATATATATATATATATATATATATACCGTCATCCACAGACAGACTGTTTCGCTGTTTCACAGCTCATCAGTGTGGCTAGATATCCGGTTGCCTTCTTCAGGGGTCGAAACCCGACTGAACTGTTGTCAGTCGGAGATTCTAACCATTAAGCCATCGGGAGGAAACTTGATTTTTAGCGTGTTTATCTTTATAAACACGCCCAGTGACCGGGAGTGACTCAATTCGCATCTGCGAAGTGTCTCGCTATATAAATATAATAGTCACTGTTTACCAACCCACATCTCCTCCCCAGAGAGCTAAACTGAATATGTGTGTGTGTGTGTGTGTGTGTGTGTGTGTGCGTGCGTGTTTTTTGTGTGTGTATAAATAAAAAGAAAGAACAGTAAGATATATAATCCGGTGTTCTTATAAATATTTTTATTTTTACAAAATAGTGCTCAATGTAAATTTACAGAGAATTAAACTTGGAAACTACAAATTATAAAATTATAAATTATGATTTTTCCGTGCCTTTAAAACCCAGTAAATTTAAAAATATGTTATTTCAAAATTCGCTTGAGGATGAAATGGAACTAATGTCTTTAACTTAATTACAAAATTAAATTCTAAGCTTTTAGCTTCCATTTTTGAAACCTGGTTAGAACTGTGTAGCGAAAAAAATCATATTTTAAATCAGTTAATAAATATATATATATATATATATATATATACTAGCAGTAGAGCCCGATAGTGTGCAAGACAATAAGAAACACTACCTGCCAAAAAAAAAAGTGAAGTTTTGTTGAAATCGGTTTAAAAATAGGAAATCCGATCCCATATATACAACACACACACACACACACACACACACACACAACCTGGGTTTTATAATAAGTATAACTCGATATGAGTTGTCCCCTTTCATTCTCGCGATGCCTCTTAATCGTGTTTTCAAATTGATTTCGTGCAAAAACAATTGTGTTTTTCCAATTTTTGGCGCCGTCAGAACCACCGCAAGGTAATTTTACGTAGTCCTGTGAAGTTTTGTTGAAATCGGTGAAAAAAATGTAAAATCCGATCCAATATATAAACGTACAGACACACACACACACACACACACACACACACACACACACACACACACACACAAAAAACCTGGGTTTTATAATAAGTATGATATATATGTATATATATATATATATATATATATATATATATATATATATATATATATATGAGGGCATACGGAAAAAGCCCTTATTTCATTGGCTGACGTTAACTGACGTATATCAATAAGAACAGTCGGACTCCTAGCCATATCTGAATTTTTTTCGCAATGTCGTTGTGCATAGCACGACGCTATCAAGGAGGCGGTCTGACCCTTTTGGAATCAGGTCGAGGTTGCTATTTGAGCCGATATGATGCAAAATCCGAAATCGGCAATGAAGACAACGCTGCATCTGAAATGTATTATCCAACTATGCTAACAGATTCTTCCAATGCACTTTTCGCGTGCAGAAATCTCTTCCTGCTTCTTTGCTTCGACGTCAACTCTGATCTTCCAACATTTTAAATGCAATATTAATTGTAATCTTCTGTTTTCTTAATTCCTCTTCTTTTATTGTTCTCTCTCATTAATAATGTTTTATTCATGGATGGAAGTTTAAAATAATCTACGCCGGTGTCATGTGAAACGATTACTGGGAACGAGGCCGGAAAAAAAAAAAAAGGAATGCATATTTTTTTCTCATTATCATCTATTTTTTTTTATTTATTTATATATTTATATTAATATAACGTATGAGCACATTAATGATGTCATATTTCAAACTACCAGCTTCCCAAAGAATACCAGGATTCAGACAAAGGAATTCTAACTACCACACAGACAACACATGGTTCTTGATAATGACTGCATTGGTCGAATGAATTTGAACAAAGCAACAACAATGAACTTAGGAAACATTTGAGCACGATACTCAAGGCTTTATTCGAAAAGTAGAAAATACAATGTAAACAATTAAACATTCAGACTTTGTCGTCGTTTTTAATATATCTCAGTCTGTTAATATCTATCTATCTATCTATCTATCTATCTATCTATCTATCTATCTATCCCAGTCTGGTCATATCTATCTATCTATCTATCTATCTATCTCAGTTTATTCATATCTATCTATCTATCTATCTATCTATGTGTGTATGCATCCTGTCAATTGCAATCCCATCAACGTTAATATTATCACTTCAGTACGACGAAGTCTTTAAGTACGAAGGACTTCACATTTACAATATTTTTTCTCCTTGTCATAGATTTTCCTAATACATATATATATATATATATATATATATATATATATATATATGTGTGTGTGTGTGTCTGTGTGTGTATTATGAAGGTGTCCCAGTGTGCAGTGCATGAATAAAAAAAAATTTTTAATCACGAAATCGATTTTTTTTAGCCTATAGAGGAATATAATGCGAAGAAAGATAATTTTAAAAACATCAAAGGTAAGGAGGCTAAAACTCAGGAGATACCTTCGAGTTTCGATACGTTTAAAAATCCCTTGAATTTCAGACGACGGAATAATAATAATAATAATAATAATAATAATAATAATAATTATAATAATAATAATATTCAAGATTGAAAAAAGAAAAAGAAATAGCCGAAAATAGCCGAAAAAAAATTGATAAAAACACAATGTCATGAAACATTGCAAAACATAAAATAATATCTACAGTGTAACCCGGATATAAGGGACCCGGATATAAGAGAAACCCTGATATAAGAGAGATTTTCTCTGGTCCCAAAATAGAGCCTGTGTTAATGTATATATAATAGACCAAACCTGGATATATCTGAGAGTTGGTTAGCAATCATTTTAGTGTTGGCTTCACGAAAAAAAGACTTCAGATGGGAAGGAAAACTCATGACAGCTTAACCCGGTCATTATATTGCATGTGTCTGCCGAAAGGCGGGTACTATTGACTGTAAAACTCCGCGATAATAACGCATGAAGACTGCCGTTCGGAGTTTCCGTGGCAAGTCTTTTGCACCGTTACTTTTTTTTTTTATCGACAGATCCAAAAAGTATGGATGGTCCGATACAAGCCTTCACCACTTGAAACAAATCATTGTGTTGTTTTCCTGACAACTACATCTAATTAGTTCCACACATATCCGGCTAGTGCGAAAAACTCTACAAAATATCAATTTCATCTTGGCACTTGGAATGTACCAACTCTCCAGGCCAACAAAGCACCAGAAAGAAAAACAGCTCTGGTCGCATTAGAGCTAAAAAAAATACCACATTGATATAGCTCCACTGAGAAGTAACCATCAGTCGGTTACATGAAACACCAAAGCAAAATAAGACAGCTAACAGTGTTCCTGCTATGGCTGATAGTCTGTTTTTATTATTATTATTATTCAGATCGGTATACTGTATCAGAAGACACACGCCTGTAATACTCTTTTCTTAGTTTCTTCTTTTGAATTTGTTGGCTTCATTTATTATTGAATAACATTTCTTATTTCTTTCATGTCCTTTGACGCAGATCATCATCCAGTTTCCAGGTATCTTTGAACGCCAATTGTTTTCGTCTTGTAAGACAGTTCTAGTTGAACTAATCCTCTGCCTCCTACGGCTCTGGGCTCATACAGACGATCAACATAAGCCTTAGGATGATACATGCGGTGGGAAGTTAGAAGCCTTCTCGTTTTTACAACCATTTCCTTAATGTCAGCTATGGTCCAATTAACGATGTTGAAACTGTATTGTACCACAAGGACAGCCGAAATCTTTACGGCTTTTATTCTGATTTGTGACTTCAACTTAAACTTAACACCAGATGTACGCCGCCTGTAGCATTCTTTTCTTACTTTCTCTTTCATTTGGATATGCTGTATTCCATTTCCTTCGCTGACTCCTAAGTATTTATAGGTTTCTTCTTGTCCCAGTTCCCTAATCTTTATGATACAATCTCGATCTGATGAGTGTATTTCTGTAATTCTCTCTTTCTTGAATGTTACTTTTGTACATTTATCAAATCCGAAATCCAAACCGATGTCATCAATGAAACATTTTACAGCATTGAGGAGACCCTTCAACTCATTCTCGTCTTTGGCAAAGAGTTTTAGGTCATCCATCTAGAATATGTGATTAAATTATTATTATTATTATTATTATTATTATTATTATTATTATTATTTTCTTTGATTTCTGGCGTTTACACATTTCTTTCCGGGTCTCGCCCAGGGACCTAAGGTTAGAAATGGCATCATGACACTTTCCACTGACAAAAAAAAAATAATTACATAGATAAAGCCCTTTGTAAGGTGTGGGTTGTACTTGTCAGAACATTTTTTTTGTATCTCCTTGAGGCATGGACTTCCAGGAATCCCTTCAATTAGTCTACTGCAATTTTTTCCAACCAGTCCTAGGGCTCCAACTACAACAGGGATTGTTGATGTTCCCATATGCCACATTTTCGAGATTTCTATTTCAAGATCCTTGTACTTTGACAACTTTTTGAATATCTTCAAAGATACATTGCAGTCAGCAGGGACTGCCATATCAATAAGGAGGCACTTTTTTTGTTTGTGGTCTTTAATAACAATATCTGGCCGGTTGGCCTTAATTGTTCTGTCAGTGTGTATTGTGTAGTCCCATAGAATTGTAACAGGTCCTATCTCCGTAACCGGGTCTGGGTGGTGTTCATACCAGTTTCTTTCAAAATTTCCTTCCCGTAGAAGTTGCATATTTTCCAGTGCAGATATTGGGCCATTATTATTATTATTATTATTATTATTATTCTCCACCCATTTTTCACTGTCGGAAAATTTTTTTTTTTTTATTTTTTTTTTTTGATTTTTCTTCTTCTTCCATTTTTTCTTCTTCTTCTTATTATTATTATTATCATTATTCTTATTATTATTTCTACGTCTTTTCTTCTTTTTATTCTTCTTTTCATTCTTCTTCTTTTTCTTCTTCTTATTTTTTCATTATTATTTCTGCGACTTTTCTTCCTTTTCTTCTTCTTGTTCCTATTATTATTATTATTTCTACGTCTTCTTTTTCTTCCTCTTCCTCTTCTTCTTTTCTTCTTCTTCTCATTATTATTATTATTATTATTATTATTATTATTATTATTATTTCTACATCTTCTCTTTTGTTTCTCATTTTTCTTTTTTTTCTTCTTCTTCTTCTTCTTCTTCTTATTATTATTATTATTATTATTATTATTTCTACATCTCCTTTGTTTCTTCTTGTCTTTCTTTTTCTCCTTCTCGTTATTATTTCTACGTCTTTTCTTCTTTTACTGATTATTATTATTATTATTATTATTATTTACGTCTACCAGTATTGGCCTTTTTGCTTGGACTGCATGATCGCTTTCTGTTTCAGTCTATAGTGTATATTTATAATGCAATCACTTGCACAATTCGCTAATGATCACATTCTGCATTCTATACTTGCATTCTTTCAGGTCCAGCTTACTACATTCTTGATCATTAGCTTGAACCGCCCATGTTTTGATCCACTGTTAAAAGTGACTCAGCTCTATCTCTATTGCCCTGTCTACCTCTCCGCTCGAATTGCCTTCTACCCTGTCAACAATTTTGGCTTTACACCAGTTTTTTATTCACTTCTTCTTACTGTGTCACTTGAGTCACTATTTATTCTTCTGTTGTAATGTTCTTCTCGCCGCTTGGGAATTGTCTTTCCTTGTTCTGTCTTCTGTAATCTCATGTGTCCTTCTAGTTCCTTGACTGCGACAATCGTAATATTTGCCGATATCCCGAACTTCTATTAATATAAAACCTGTCGACATCTCACGTTAACAGTCTTCTTGCGGAGCGATTAACATGAACTGGAGCTAGTCATGAACCAGAGTCAGGCATGGCTCGGAGTCAGGAATGAACTATAGTTTGTCATGAACTGGAGACAGGCATGAACTATATTCAGGCATAAAGTATAGTTAGGCATGAACCACAGTCAGTCATGAACCACAGAAAGACATGAACCGTAGTCAGGCATGAATCAGAGTCAGTCATGAAATATATTCAGGCATGAACCAGAGTTAGTAATGAACCGTAGTCAGACATGAATCGGTGTCAAATATGAATCATAGTCAGGCATGGATCAGAATCAGGCACGAACCATAATTAGTCATGAAACGTAGTCAGGCATAAATCAGAGTCAGTCATCAAATATAGTCAGCCATGAACCAGAGTCAGCAATGAATCGTAGTCAGACATGAATCGGAGTCAAATATGAACCATAGTCAGGCATGAACCGTATTCAGGGATGAACCATAGACAGTAATGAACAGTTGTCAGACATGAACCATAGTCAGGCATGAGCGAAAACAAAAGTGCAGTATCTAAATCTTCGTATGAGACAATTTACGTTAAGTGGTTTTTCGCACCATTTTGGGGTAGCTTTATTTAAAAAAAGAATGAAGATCGTTTATTTGCTATAAAATATTTCCAGAATGATGCCCAGTGCTGCAATATTAGACTACGGTAGACCTTCAGAACTTGCTCAGAAGCTGGGGTCACATTATACATGAGCTATATGAAAAAAAATCAAGGCTCTCACTAGACATATAATAGGCCTATACACGAATATATATGGTAGCCATTTTCTTAATGTATACCTTTTTTGATGCCGTATTTGTTTATAGAATGTTATTAATTCATGTAGCGATAAAAGGGGAGTAACTGGGGTAGCCTTTATACAAAAAAAATGAAGATCGTTTATTTGCTATATAATATGTCCAGGATGATGAACAGTACTGCAATATTTGACCCCGATAGGTCTACTAGTATTGCACCGAATCTGAGCTTGCATTATACATGAGCTATTTGAAAAAAATACAAAAATATTCAAGGTTGGTGCTATACATGAAGTAGACTTGTACATGAGTATATACGGTAATATATACAGTCCATTGCTAAAGCTGTTGAACAAAGCGTTGGTCCATTCTATCATTCCAGAAGGTACTTGGTCCAGGTATGAGTGAAATAGCAGAAAACACTGAGTTTATTGATATGGCAGTCCCTGCTGACTGCAGTGTATCTTTGAAGAGATTCAAAAAGATGTCAAAATACAAGGTCCCTCGAAACCGAAATCTCAAAAATGGGGCACATGGGAACATCAGCAATCCCTGTTGTAGTTGGAGCCCTCGGAT